AAGTTTCTCTTAGAAAGTATTAGGTTAGAAGGAAACTTTTACCATCTTGGGCCTGGCCACTCTCACATCTGCAGAGCTGCTCTGACCAGAAGTAGGTCAGACAGAATTATCTTGGAGGACAGATTTACCAAGCAAAATTCAGTGACTGAGGAAAGTGCATAAAGGTAGCTGTTCTATTATAATTATTTAATTTTAAGAAAAATGTTAATCTGACTTAGCAGCAATGTAAGTTCCTTATTTTTACACATTTGCTGAGAAGTTTTGTGTAAATGATATAAAGAGACAAAAAGAACTGCCAAAAAAAAAAAAATCAGACAATTTAGAAGTGTCAATGAACCAGTAGATCCTGAAGCCATATAGAAGCCGTTAATACAAAAGCTGTGGAGAGCATTTCAGAGCATCTCGTGACTGACTCATCCTTTTCCTGAGGAGTGCCCAGTATAGTGGATCTTTTTTTGTATATAGAGGAAGGGAAGAAAACAGTACCTTATTTGTGACATTGCAGAAGATCACTGTGCTTAATTGATAGCTCCCTCTGTTGTTTGCCCAAAGAATGGTTAGCAGTACTCTGTTTAGTAAAGAAGGATCAGGAATACTTGCAGTCACCTAAGCCATCATTTTCAACTATAGTGTCATCTATAACCAATTACAGGAAAAAGCAGTTTTACAGAAGTTGCCTGACCTGAAATCCAAACTCTGATGCTAGGTGGCACATAAGAGCATTATTGGTTTCATACAGCTCTGTCTTGTTGCCTTGATCCTGTCCTAGAATGATTCAGTTACTAGGTCATCAAGAGTGGAGTATCATACCCATGTATTGCTGGTAATGAGATTAGGTGAATTAGCTGTATTTTGTGTGTGTTTTTTGAGACAAGTTATCACTATGTATTGAAGGTTTATGTAGAACTAGCTTTGTAGCCCAGTCTAGCCTCAAACCTGTGATCTTCAGCCTCCCAAGTGTTGGTATTATAGGTGTGCATCACCATACCTGGCTGGCCTAGCTATCTTAAAGCAGTTTGGTGATAAGCATCAAGAATTTTTATGTAGGGCTGGGACAAGGGTAGCTCAGTGGTAGCTTGCCCAACATCTGAAGGACCCAGTGTTCAATTCTCCACAATTTTTAAATGTATTTTACAAATAACAGGTTTTTTTTAACCAATTTATTTTTTATTGGTTTTTGTTTGTTTTTTAAAATTTTATTTATTATTTTTGTTTTATGTGTATGTGTGTATTGCCTGCATGTAGGTAAGTTCACCTGTGTTGTACAGTGCCTGCGGAGGACAGAAGAGGCTGTTGGAACCCCTGAAACTGGAGTTAGGATAGTTAACTGCCATGTGGGTGCTGGGATTCGAACCGTGGTCTTCTGTAAGAACACTTGGGTGTTCTTAGTGGTCTTAACCACTGAGCCATCTCTCCAGCCCCTGTTTTTTTGTTTGTTTTGATTTTGTTTTTGTTTTTTTGAGACAGAGTCTTACTATGTAGCCCTACTTGGCCTGGAACTCACTATGTAGACCAGGCTAACTTCAAACCTCAGAGATCCACCTGCCTTTACCTTCTCAGTGCTAGGATTAAAAGTGTGCTCTATCATTCAATCATGCCCAACCTGCAATTTTATTTTTAGTAGATTTGTAGGAGTGAGTAGATAGGTGAGAATAAGGAATGCTATTCTTTATCACTAGTTTTTGTGTGTGTGTGATTATGTGTGTGTGTGGGGGGGGTACATTTGGCCCTGCATACGCAGGTGGAGGCCAGAGATTGATCCTTTCTTCCCTACATTTGCAGCTGCAAAGGTACCATTGAGACAGTGAAAAGAAGCCTGTATTGAACAGAAAATAATAGTTGAAAGGAACTGTTTTGTTTTGTTATAATCAGTGTTGAATTCATTAGTAAATACTTTTCTGTTAGACACTTTCTCTTTCTTGTAAAACCTCTTAGGAACTCAGATAAAGAATTCTTGGCCAAAGATTGTATATGTAGGGGCTGGAGAGATGGCTCAGCAGTTAAGAGCAATAGCTGTTCTTACAGAGGACCCAGGTTTTGGTTTCCAGCTTCCACATAGTGGCTAACAAGTGTAACTCCAGTTCTAGGGCATCTGATGTACTCTTCTGATGACATGGGTGCACTTACATACATGGAAGCAATACACTCATACACATAAAATTAAAAAATAATGTTTTATTAATAAAAATATTAAGTTAATATTAAATATAAGCATAAATAATATATAAACATAGAATATATGAAAATAAAATATATAAAAATTAATAAAAATAATGTTTTTATTACTAGTGTTATGCCTGCATGTTTGTAAGTACAACTGTGTCATACAGTGCCTTGTGGACAGAAGAGGGCGTTGAATCCCCTGGAACTGGAGTTACGGATGGTTGTTAGCCACCATGTAGGTGCTGAGATTTGAACCTAGGTCTTCTTCAAGAATAGCCAGTGCTCTTATCTGCCGAGCCATCTCTCCAGCCTCATAAATGTTTTATCTTTTTTTTTTTTTAAAGATTGTATATATAGTGAGCTGAATAGCTTCATCTGTCAACTTTACATACATGGGAAGAGGAAGCCTCAATTGGGGAATTTCCTCTATCAAACTGACCTGTGGGTATGTCTGTAAGGCATTTTTCTTGATTGTTTAGTGATGAGGGAGGGCCCAGCGTACTGTGAGTAGGGCACCCTGGCCAGGTGGTCCTGGGTTGTATAAGAATGCACACTTGAGCATGGCACAGGGGGCAAGTCAGTAAGCAGCATTCCTCTGGTCCATGCTTCGTTTTCTGCCTCCAAGTTCCTGTCCTGAGTTCCTGCCTTGGCTTCTCTCAGTAATGAACTGTTAGCTTTAAGATGAAACTCTCCTCCCCAAGTTGCTTTTCATCAATATTTTAACACAGCAACAGAAAGCTGACTAGGACAGATAGTTTCTTAGAATTTCTCTGTACTTTTGGTGCCTGCAAGATGACTCAGTGGATGAAGATGCTTGCCACTAAGCTTGATGACCTGAGTTCAAGCCTGGGATCCATATGGTGGAAAGAGAGAATCGATTCTCAAAACTTGTTCTCTGATATATACCCCACTCCCTGACATACACAAGCATCCACGCATTTTAATTAAACTTGTCATCAATTCAGACTCCTTGTCATGTGACAGTACTTACTGCTCCAGCTTTTCACAGCCTGATGGCAGCAGCATATCATGGAGCTCCTGCTCCTGTCACTTGTTGTCACTCCCTGCCTTTATTTCCCTACACAGGTATCATCTCCAGGCTCTCCGGCACCTCTACGTGCTTGCTGCAGAACCCAGGCTGCTGGTACCTGTGGATGTGGATACAAACACACCCTGCTATGCCCTTTTAGAAGTTACTTACAAGGTAATGTTTCCCGTCACTGTTGCAGGTGAAATGATTTCTACAGTTTTGTCTAGCAAAAGATGATAATATTAATTTGAACACTCATAAGAGCTCAAGTTTCCCAAGTTCCTCTATGTCCTGCCAGGCTACTCAGGCTCACTCTAGTATTGGGGTATACTCTAGTATTT